AAGCAAGCCCTTTCAAGGTTGCAAAAGGCTGCCAAGAACAGAAGACTAATTACTGATTAAATATCTACCGACAGAAGTTTCAAAAACAAACCAGAGTAAGCAGGGTTTCAATGAGGACTATGAGTCTGAAGAACTTCTTTGCTTCCTGCAAAGAACACATCCTGAGGGTTGTTTTTTATCCCTTGTGGGAGGGGCCATCACCTTCCAGCCTTACTCCCAAGTCGCCTTTGCTGCTTCAGCTACTCTTTCCTTCGAGCAGCCCTGCATGCATGCATACTGGGCACAGGCTCCCCGGGGTCCTCTGTGTCACTGCTGCCAGACTCCACAAGTTCCGAAGGCAGCACCCCATGCCCCATCCCTGCATCACATGCAGGCTCCTTGTCCAAGTCCTTGCTATCAGAGACCTCTGCTGTCCACACCTGCTGCTGGTGAACCACAACAACTCCTGGATATAGGATCTATCGCTTTGTATGTACACTGAGAGCTTATGCACCGGAGACAAATTCTTTGGGTGTTCAATCACACTTGGCCAATAAAGCTACTCTACTCTACTCTACTCTACTTTCTATTCTATTCTTGTGCAATTGAAAAAGACTAAAAAATCCATCAAGATAAATGTTAACTGATAGCTTATCCAAGTCCAGTTGGTGGGCACAGTTAAAAAAAAAGTCCCATATTTTGTTTAACTTTTTAAAATTTTGGGGGAAGATGTATTAGGTGAAAATTCACACAAAACTTATTGGACATGTAATTATATACTAAGGTAAAAGGCACCAGGTGTGTTAGGGATACACCCTAGCAGAATCTGCACGGCAGTCAGGCAGGCAGGTAAAATATGTGAGATAAACGTTTTTGTAGCTTACACTCAGTAAAACAGATACACTGTGCTAGTTAAATAGTTCCAGTATTCCAGTAATAGTTCCAATATTCCAGTAATAATTTTAGCATAGTCAAAACAGTCCATATATCATTCACTAATTCAGTCCGTCTGGAGATTATTCAGTTGCAAAGTCCAGTGTCGAAAAAGAGAGGTCAGTAAACCTACAAATATCAGTCCAGTAATATATCTCCTTGCAGTAGAGATATGAAGAAGTCAAACCTCCTTTCTTCCTTCGACGTTCACCAACTCAGCAGTAGGGAACACGCAGTTAGCAAACCATCAATCCATCAAACCATCAATCTTCAGCAATCCAGCAGGTTCTCTTGCTCCCTCTTATGGCGGTTTCACACCGCACCCAAAATTACATGCTTTGCAGTTTAAAGTGACACACACTTAAACTTACTATCATAGTTTATATATATTATTTTACCTAAACTACGTTAGGTAACCTTGTTATTCCTAACAAGGTCCCTGGAAAGAAATTTAATAATTTTAAGTCAATAGTTGATCAATAAGAATAAAATATAAGTTTCAACTTTGATCAAACCTACTTCTAGCCTCACTGCTCTCTACTGAATTTATACACTCTGTTATGCATGTTTATTTAGTGACTGTGCTACAATAAAGGAATATAATTTATACGAGCGGGAAAGTATAGAACAAAAAGCTGTTTATAGACTTTGAACATGCAAATTACCTTTGTATAGATATATTTTCCTGTAATTCAAGCTGAAACCTTTGTTTATGGTAACCCATGATGAATACTCAGGTTTATCATATTTCATGTCTAGTTTTATTTAAATTGGACCAAAATTGACATTTAAGAATCAATCTTGTATTTTTCTATGAGGATATTTTTTAAATGCTGGTAGGTGATTTTTTTATCTGGTTCTGCCTTCCATGAGGACTTATATCATTATATCTGCATGCTTAGAGCATGGTTTGACTTCCTAGAACAGAGGTCTCCAAACCTGGGAACTAAGACTTGTGGACTTCAACTCTCAGGATTGCCCATCTTCCCACATCCCTATGTCAATGCCATCTTCAAACCAAATTAAAATGGCTATTCTTTGTCCTGAAATTAAAAACAAAAATTAATAGTCAGAAGTGTTCTATAATCTAGATACTGCATGTATTGCACCTGCTAATCTCTTAACATCAAGTAACAATCTACAGCAGTGTTTCTCAGCCTTGACAACTTTAAGACTTGTGGACTTCAACTCCCATTCTGGAAGTTGAAATCCACAAGTCTTAAAGTTGCCAAGTTTGGGGACCCCCGTCCTAGAACATACATTGCAACATAACATTACTTATCACATAGAAATGCCATGGTGCTACAGCATCCTCTTATTTCTGAAATGTCAGTCAAAAGTTAATGACTGTACTGCAGAGTGGTGGTCATTATCCAACCATTAAATAGTCCACATTCAGCTTCAGTCTAATTTTATGCCATCTTCTGTCTCATTTCAAAAGGTATTTTGTAAGTAATCATGTCTGGAAAAAAACCATCTCTTCACCCTGGTTGGCTTGCATGGAAAGAGAGAGAGAGAGAGAAAAGGAATGCCAGAAAAGGAAGTCTTACTTTTTAAAGTTATATATACCAATCTGTTTTATGTTGGTGGTTTTATAGACAAATGCTTATGTGTGTCATAAGTTTACAGATGACAAAAATGCTATCAAGAAAGCTTCTAGTGTAAATGCAAATTAAAACAGCTTTTAAAACAACATAGCATCTCTCATGAGAAAGTAACATAGAACAATTTTGAAAAGCTTGTAATGAATGTGGTTAGTGGACCCCAATTTTCAATAGATTCCATATTTATGGCTATTAAGCCATTCCCCTCTTCTCTGTGTCTTAATTCATCTACAGACATGCAGTGTAGTTATATGCAATTACAATGTAGTACTTTCAAACCTGCAAGTTAATGTAGCCTTACAAAAAAAGTAGATTTAGCTCTCATCTATTTGTGTTTCCTGTGTGGTTTATCCAGGGAGAATGACATGAATCCTGCAGTAGGGATTCCATTTTGAACTCCTTGCCCCATTAGGGTGGGTCCTTCCTTTGTTTCTTTCTCTGACCACTGAGAAACTGCAAGCTCCCTCCATTTGTCTCTGCTTATTTTCTAGGCAGTATTTCACCCCCTCTTCCCCCAAAGTCACACATTCATTCCATTATAGGAGTTGATTGAAGTTGTGTGGAGATTGGTGGAGAAAGGATGGGATGGGTTACCCAAAGACTAGCTTACAAAAATTTTTGAAACCCCTGGTATCCAGCTATTGTTGAATGCTAAGCCTCATTAAAGTAAAGGTTGCCCTCTCTTACACTATCAGAATATGATTGGAGGTTGGGGCATTTCCCCTCTTGAGATGTGCTCAGTTAAGTCTTCCATAACCACAAACTAAGGGGGAGGAAAGTGGAGTGACATTGTCATTTGGGAGATTAAAAATCATGGACAGTTGGATGTAAGGCCTTACTAGTAAAGCTGCTCTCTAAAGTGGGAATGCTGCTATTGTATTGTCTTTTAATGCAGCAGAATACCTGCTGACTTTCATTGGGAGATTGGTGGTACAATTAGTGAAGCTATTTGTCTTTGAGGACTTCAACACCTGAGGTGTTCTCTGGGAGAGGAATCAGATGTAGTTCAGGAATTTGACACTTTGCAGAGACTACCCACTAGATCTATTATTTGTTTTGGAGCAGTTGCAATGTAATATAATGCTTGGGGACATTAATATCTGCCCTCTATCTTTGCTGGATTAGTCCCTGATTGCTGCAAAACACTCTAGTGTCACAAACGTCCATGGGAAGAGCTTTTCAAATGTCCATAACCTGACATCTAAGGAACTTCATGGCTTCCAGAAGATGCTTAAAGAGTTTCTTAAGTAGAGAATGCTCTTCATATCTCAGTCCTTATTGGGTTCACAGATTGCCATCCTCTGGCTCTACACACTCTGGAGGGCAGGAGGATTATTTAAGGGATTTTTGTGAGAAACTTTCTATAATAGTTCCAAGTCCTTCAAGTAAGGAACGCCACAATACTCTTCCCACTCCTATTCAAAGTGCACATGAAATCCCTGGGTGGGATAATCTGTCAACATGGAATTAGGTTTTTATAACTGTACATCTTGACCATGGCCAAATAAGTGATGGTGTTAAAGTGCTGCCAGGTGACTGGTGTCTGCCAGGTCCTGGAATGGGAGGAACAGGTAGAGACTCAATCCCAGAAAGATGGAGTGATTTGGGGTTCAAAGGCCCTGGGTTTCATTGTTTACTCAGAATGAGCAAGCACTACACAAGATGCAATTGTTTTGCAATTTGGAAGATGGAAAAAGAATATAAAACTATAAAAGAAGAAAAAAGATTAAAAAAGAAATGTATCAATACATTGCAGTCATTCCTGTGAGCTATATTACTATAATCAATACTTGGAGCTATATGTTTATCTTTCTGATGCTGAACAGTAAGACGTTCGCCCAAAGGCAAAAGGAAACTGGACTTCGTTTTTTTCTTCAAAAATGTTTGCTTTTCATTCAAGGAATAGATGTAGAAAGCTGCTACAGGTAAGGAAGTCTATAACCATTATATCCATTCTAGAAATTATGTTTGTATAGCTGTTACCAACAAGCATGTTATTGTTAAAAAGCATCTTCTGTTGAGGATAATAGAGTTGTGTTTCATATTGTGCTAATTAGCTATAGTATAATTTGTATAGATTGTCTCTACTTTATAAAACCTCTCAGACCGACACTCAAGAATCTGGAAGACTGTGAGTGTGTCACTATATCCCGCAATTTTATTCAATTTGTTATTTTTACTTTTATTGTTTCATGTACCCACCAGAATGAATCATTGCTACTACAGTTTCTATATCTGAATTTAGATCTCTCTACAGGTAGTCTTTGTTCAATGACTACTTATTTAGTGGCCATTCTTAGTTACAACAGTGATGGCAAAGTAATTGTATGGCCAATTCTCACATTTATGAACTTCGCAGGTGTGCAAAAGGAAAAGCTAAAGTTGAATTTTGTTCTGTGCTCTGGTTAATATTTACCTACCAGATATGAATAACAAACATATTTTTCCTTCATAGCTTCCTTTTTTATTGTCAGCCCAAAGAAAGCAGCTAAGAACTTCCTGATTCTACAATAGAACGATCTAAAGGAGATTTCTTCTGACAGATTTTCCTTCCATTTGGAAATACTTCTTGCTGCAGTAAGAAAAGATGGCAGGTGTAAGCTCATGTATGAAATACTCTATGTTTATCTTCAACTTTTTATTTTGGGTAAGTCTAACTTTTTGAAATGAAAAATATATAAACCAGAATGAACAATGAAATATTGGTTGCCTTAAAATGTGGTATTTTATGAGGAGTTGGAGCCACCTGTTCCATTAATATTACTGGAAAAGAATGAAGATAAATACTTTGTTATTTGTAGGACTGGACAAAAAGTGGTGAGACTTAAGTTTGAAAATAGAGCCTTGTCTGGGACATATGGAGAAAAGCATTAAATATAAATACTTTTCTGGACAAGTGTATAAATGTTGGAAATTTACTGCTTTTTGAAATAACTTCTGTAGCAAAATAAAAATGAATAGATTATCTGCCAAAGTATTTATCAAATTTTAAAGCTTTATTTCCTAGTGTAGTCATGATTATTTTCAAATTGGGTGTGATCATATACTGAATTTCAAAATATTACTGGAATAGTTGCACATTGCTTACTTTCCTACTATTCCTGAACCATTCCTCTTTCTGTCAAATATTACTCAGTGTCCACTCCAAAAACAGGCTGACAACCCACCTAGTCCACCTTGTAGCCTTTAAACAATGAATTACAAGGTGAGAAAAAGTGCAGATTTTCTAATGAAAAGTTATTTGGTATGAATAATTAAATCTGATCAAACTTTTGGCAGAGAATTTGGGCTTAAGATAGACACTGTTGCAGAACACTGTCTGCAAGAACCTTTTTCAGTTTAAACATATGTGGAGTTTTTTTGTTTTTACACATTGTAAGAATAAAATTTTCTAATTTTTCAGGTTGTCCTGTGAAATGATTTTGAAAGGATAGTAAAATACCCAGATGTGTGTTTGCTATAAATCCAGATCAATATGAATATTTTAGCTAAGTTTTAAGCAGTAGCTAATTTGATTTTGCCAATAAGAATAAATTGACCACTGTTCTCTATCCAGTCTGGCTCAGTGATGTACTTCCATCATTTATCACTTTCCAAATATATTTTGATTTTATTTCTATGTTATTGTTTCAGCCATGTATTTCCAGATAAATCTGTGTGGCGTAAAATCACCCTTACTACTTGATTTTTGAGTCAACCATTTTTTTAATAGACAATATCATGCCAAGTTATATCATGCTGTCTCTTAAAGGGACAAAGTCAAATAACGTATCTGGGATTGGGTGGAGAAGTAAATGGTGAAATGACTATTTTCAGCCTTGACTGAAAACATGTCATTGTTTAACACTCCATAATTCTCTCTCTTTGTCTCTCTTATTTTGTCTCCTTCATACACAAATACACAGTTAGCCCTATCAAGTCTGGGAATATTTTGAGGGTCCTAAAGTTAGTTTAATGCTAGGAAATGACTTACAGCCTCCCATGCTGTAAGACAATTTCAGGATGTGAGATGAGGTAAAAGAAAGAAAGAATGGATGAAAAAAAATTGTGGGTAACTTGAAGGAAGAATGAGAGACGATGATTAGCAGATTTTGAGTATTTTATCAATGTGGTTATCTGAGGATGGTGGGGAGAGAAAGTGAAATGTGAATCTAAGAAAAATGTAATTTTAAAGGAATGGGTTTTTTTGAGGTCTCATATTTACTTTGCATTCAATTTCTTTAATACATTGTTGGTTTGATAAACTGATGTTTTAGGAATGCTCACTTGCACTGTAACAAATATCTTCTGATTAGTTATCTCTGTATGGCAGCGATGACACTTCCTCAAAATCTGAAATATACCACTGATACTCAAAGATCATATCCCATTCTTACATTATTAGTAAAATTATGTGTACATGTATGTATAAGCGTGTGTCTGTCTTTGGGAGGATGGGAAAATTTATTGTCATCTGTCCAAATTAACTTGATCAGATTCCAAGAAAACCTGGAGTCCATTGTGATTTATTATCTATCCGTAAGCTACCTGTGCATTGTGCTATGGAAAAATACAGGTGATCCTCAACTTACAATCATAACTGAGCCCCAAATTTTTGTTGCTAAGTAAAACATTTGTTAAGTGAATTTTACCTTGTTTTACAACCTTTCTTACCACAGTTATTAAGTGAATCACTGCAGTTGTTAAACTAATGACATGGTTGTTAAGTGAATCTGGTTTTCCCATTGACTTTGCTTATTAGGAGGTTGCAAAAAGTGATCCCATGACCCTGGGACACTGCAACGGTCATAAACGTGAGTCAGTTCCAAAGCGTCTGAATTTTGATCACGTGATCATGGTAATGCTACAATGGTTGTAAGTCTGAAAAACAGTCATAAGTCACTTTTTTTCAGTGCCATTGTAACTTCAAACTCTGAACCATTGTAGGTTGAGGACTACCTGTAATGTCTTTTGACATTCAAAGGGAAAGGGGGAAAACTATGGCCCTTTCTCTGGTATTTAAAAATATATTTGTGAAAAAATCAAACACAATATTGAGATAAAAAAACAAGCAAAAAAAGAATTCACAGGGTTTCTCACAGGGTGTGTTATATAGAAGTCAAGATAGCAACATTATCTTTTTATGTGCGTCACATGTCATAGCAATTTTTTCACGAACAAAATTATATTTTAAGTGAGAAATGGGCATTTTGTCCAAGATAGTACTTGGGAAATTAGATTTCTTTTTTTAATAGAATCAATTTGTATATGGGATTTTTAATACATATTAAGATGGGATTAAATAATATAAAAATATTTCAGGAATCTGCATCAAGTAGTGGCTTTATTATTTTCAGGATATTGTTTTTTTTTTCTCCCTTTCACTAGATAATTGGATGTTTGATTCTGGGAATCTCTATATGGATACGTGTCAGCAAAGATATTCAAGAGGTAAATATGTTTTTTTCTTATCAGTTGGAAATGTCAACACATATTGCAGCTGCATCTTCCTGGTAAGTCACAGAAAAATAAAATATATAAAAATGAAATAAATTCTATAGCAGTCACCCCCTACTCCTCTTTGGAAGTTCTGATCAATTTCAAGTTATAAATAAAGAATTTATTTAAAAAAGAAACTTTAGTGTAAAATTATTTTTCCTACTTTAAGTAAACATACTTAAACCATACAATGGTGCGGAGAAAGTGGTTCCAAAAAGCCTCTAAAGAAAAAATTATTAAAAAGTAAATATAAACATTTAATACTCTAAAGAGACTGAAATATGTTACTGGTCTATTACAGAAGTCACATAGTCACTAAGTTTGCAGAGGGAAAAATAAATATCAGAAACAATAAAGATTTCAATATCACACATATAAAAGTAAATCAAGCATCTAATTGCTCATTCCTAGCTAAATATTCACCTCTGACTTAGGGACAATGAATTATTTCAGCAAGTGATTACTCTATGTTCCTCCTGGATTTTTCCGGATACTTGTTATTACAGCCTTAAATCAAAGGCACAGGATAAGTGTAATTCTTTTTGTTTCCGTGATGCCCAGATTTCTGGCTGAAGTTTTAAGAAGCTAAAAGCTTATAGCTTTTCTCTATAAAAAGTCTTAGGTAAGGATTTTTCCTTAGAAAGAGAATGTTCTTTTAGTAACTTAGATAGACCTTATACCTTTGTTTCAGTGGTGGGATTCAAATTCATTTTTTTTTTTACTACTGGTTCTGTGGGCGTGGCTTGGTGGGCGTGGCTGGGGAAGGATATTATAAAATCTCCAGTCAGAGATGGTATTTGCCGGTTCTCTGAGCTACTCAAAATTTCTGCAGAACAGGTCAGAACCAGCTGAATACCACCTCTGCTTTGTTTGTAGCTATTCTGTAAAAACAGATTGGCCTCACAATAACTTCATTGAGAAATGAAAAAGATTTCCTTGTTTTAATTTTCAAAATGTAGAATTTTTTTTTATATTTTGAATAAAGAATCTAAGAATAAGCAAAATTTGATCTTGAGAAATCCCAAACGGTGATGAATTCTCCTAGAATTTATGGCATGAATCTTATCTCCCCCACCCCCAGTTTACTCCTAGATTTTCCAGTTAAGAAAGTGTATAAATTACCAGTTTAAAGTTTTAAATGTAAAAATAGGAACTTACACTGTGTTGAATGTAGGCATGAAAAATGTCCTTGAAACATTTTATTCATGTGATCAGGAACCAGATACAAATAATTACCTCTTAAAATCTTTTAGTGAAACAGTTTACAATATTGGTGTCAGCTATACAAATTAATTTTAATCCAAATTCAGTGAAGGTCTATACCAGCAATGTAGTAATACCACATTCTTCTCTTGTATTAGTTTTCTAATATTAAAAACATCATCCTCTTCTAGTCTAGTTTAACTTCTGCTGCCTTCATGGACACATCCATGTAGACCGGTTCTGGAGTAACAGGTAGCGGAAATTTTGAGTAGTTCAGAGAACCAGCAAATACAACCTCTGACTGGGGATTTTACAGTAACCTTCCCCTGCCACGCCCACCAAGCCATGACCACAGAACCAATAGTAAAAAAAATTGAATCCCACCACTGCACATAAGGGCATTAATTAGCAAAAGCCTGTTAGATTGCTGACCTTAATATGGTGAGTTTATACATTTATGACATGTGACATAATTCAATAGCAACCAGGAGACTGTGCTGGACCAACAAATGACTTATTCCTTGGAAATAACAGGAAAAATGACTTTTTTATTTGAGTTCGTCACATTAAAATGCCTTTCCCAGGAATTTTCATCTCCTAATGACCAGATAGATTGATTTTCTTCATCATGATGTATTTCCAATGCTCTTTTAGGTGATTAGGAGTCAAAACTCCTAATACCGGTACATAATAGAACATAATCAATTAAACAAATCTAGCAATACTTTAATCTGATCAAGCAAAATGTGTTATGGTTCATTCAAGCTGGTTTGAGTGTCGTCATTTTTTTTTTACTTTTACTATTGATTTGATTTGATTTTGCTTTCCTTAGTTATTTGTATATATAAATTTATTTTTTATTAGCTTTTCACTATAATATGTCAGTTTGTTTGCCATCCAGGAAACAAACTGACACTGAAAATGCAGGATATGAGTAACACATAAATATTCATCATTCTGTTCTAATCTGGGAATTTATAATCTGCTGTATTGCTTAAAAGCCAGGCACTCCCACTTTTGCATAACACATTTCAGTACATCTCACCCATACCGAAGCAATCTGCTGCCTTCTCTGGAGTTCCAAGCACTAGAGCAATGTCCTTGGGTACTGAACAATCAAAATGAAATGCCATGACTGAGGGTATTGCCTTAGGGCAAAGAAGTTTGCTGATAATATGGTTTATGTCTGTGAATAATAGAGAGATGTTCATTTGCTCCTAGCTTCCTTTTTAGGTTACCTTTAGGTTCCTTAACTATTTCACTGAGTGTATCCGAAACCTTGTATTTTTCTTTTTACAGGAATTCAAAACAGAGTCAAGCATGCTTTCTCCGGTTAATCTCCTCATTGCTGTGGGCTCAGTCATTATGGTGCTTGGGTTTCTAGGTTGCTGTGGTGCCATGAAAGAGAGCCAGTGCATGCTCCTCCTGGTAGAGTTTCAATTTCTGTAACATTTTCTTTGCAAATATTTTCAAAGCAATACCCTGCATGGATTTACCTTATTGGACAATAGATGATCTTTAGTGCAAGTTTTAGGTAGCATTTTTTGCTCAAGCAGGAGTAAGGAGAATGTGCCCTGTACTGCCAATGACAAAAGTGTAACTACACTGTGGTGTACTCCTTATGATTTTTTATGTGGAAAGATATGAATTTAAGGAGATTTTGGGAAAATGTGAATTACAAATGAAAGATAAAAATGATACCTGGTTTCTTTCCTAAATCAAAGTCCATAAATATAGGTAGCCCTCAACTTACAACAGTTTCAAGGTTATAATTGCACTGAAAAATCTTACTTATTATCATTTTTCACACTTACAACCATTGCAGCAATTTGAATGCTTGGCAACTGGCTCATATTTATGACGGTTGCAGTATCCTGAGGTCATGTGAACATTTTGCGACCTTTTGACATGCAAAGTCAATGGGGAAGCCAGATTCACTTAACAACCATGTTACTAACTTAACAAACTGCAATGATTCATTTAACAACTGTGGCTAGAAAGGTTGCAAAATGGGGCAAAACTCAATTAACAACATAAATTTTGGACTCAGTTGTGGTCATAAGTTGAGGACTGTCTGTATTGTTATGTATCTGCACACTAGGTAGGAACTCTAATAGTAGCTAATGTGAAGTTTAATTACAGATTACATATATTACATACATTACGAACACCTATTTTGAAGAAGGCAAGAAAAGAACCTGAACCAAGTAGATTTCAGAATGAAAATAAAGGCTGCTGCTATCTGAATGTCGGTCATAACTGCTTTTCTCCAATGCAGTCATTTTTGGGATATTCTGATTCTTAATTCAGTATTTACGTAGGGTTGTCCTTCACAACAAAGAAAAGCTGCTGGTTTTGCATAGACTTCAGAATGTGGATTCTGCTACATCATAATACTGTTTCAGTAATTCCTCAAAAATGGCATGTTCCTCAGAGGTAAAGGACCTGTGTGGGGTGCCATATTGTTTCCCTGGTTCTCCTTAAGTTGCTTTTGAGCTGTCGCAATCAGTCTTGGCCCTCAGTGTTTTTCTCACTTGGGGAAAATGGGGAAAGACATGGGCTGTGGTTAGAGTGCAGTACTACAGGCCACTTCTGCTGACTATCAGCTGCCTGCAATCTGGCAGTTCAAATCCCACCAGGCTCAAGGTTGACTCAACCTTCCATCCTTCCAAGATGTGTAAAATGAGGAGCCAGATTGTTGGGGGCCACAGAAGAGGCTTTCTCCCCAAGAACCCACCAGTCAGACTTTGGTATGGTAGGCAGCTTCTGAAGTAACTGGGCGCTTTGTAGACAGTCTCGGGGGTTAATCAGATGCTGTACCTTGCACCAGATAGAAGCTTGCTCTGCTTCACGATTCCATACATTTCATCACCTGGACAGATCTAATCAGTACGAGAAAGCAGGTTCAGTATCAATGGATGTATTTATTTTGGTCGGTGTGCTGTGATAAAAGCAGGTTTGTAGATACCAAAAGAGAAGAACTTCACAAAACTCTTTAAGAAGTTTTAAGTAGCTATGTCAGCTATAAAATTAAGATCCTTTCTTCCCCTCTCCTCTCCTGATATTCCTTTCTACTTCAACATTGGTTTTAATGAATCATTTTAATACTAACTTGTAAAAAACAAATTTGACTTTTATGAGGCTCCATTATTTTAATCCAACATTGTCCATCATTCTTGTTAAATTGTGATTTCTCTATAATTACTTAATCAGAATTATGAATGACATTTTTGGAACTTACTTAAGAGATGCTTAGGTTGTAACCTAAGTATGATAAACTGTAGGGTTAATCATTAAGTGTTGTAACATGTATTAAAATATACATGGTCTACTCTGACTAATTATTCAAAAATGCTATAATTACCATACAAGCAAGCACATATCATTGAAAGGAACCAATTCATTATTTTAATGGATGAAAAACAATATGGCATCCCATGAGTCCTGCCTTGTAAACATTATTGTCTAGAGAAAACGCAGCTTTGTTTCAGCATTATGTACAATTATAGGATATACAGAAAGTTAATTTCAGTTTTCCTGAATACATAAAAAATGGTGTCTTCTTAAAATATATCTTATGTACAGCTTTTGAACATTGCCTATACTCACATTCTGATTTCAAAAATCTGTCTTTCCTAACAAGTGCCTTTTCAAGGGATTTTGTTTCATTTTGTAAACATCTTATAATATTGTAAACCGTTTCAGAACATTTACAAAAAGAAACAGTATGAAAATACACCTTCCTGGAACTGAGATAATTTTTTTTCTCCCATCAGTTTTTCATTGGACTATTGATGATTCTGCTTCTTCAAATTGTAGCAGGCATTTTGGGAGCAGTATATACATCTCAGGTATTTCATTCTTCAATCTTATTAAGTTATGTAGTCATTAAATTACATAGGCTGATTGTATCATCTGTTTATTTGCAGATTGAAGGCGTCCAAAACCAGACTCGACAAAGAGAAACTGACATATTGAAACTTTTTTCAAGTAATGATAAGGATCTCCTGGAGGATTTCCACAAACTTGAGATAAAGGCAACTATTTTTACTCCACTTCTTCCAACATCTTAAAATCAAACTATGTTTGAAAACCATTGTCCTCTCCAATTCCCTAATTTCACAATAGCAAATACAGATCAAGCTTTATTGAATACAAATAATCTGTACCAAAATAATGGACTCCTAGAAACATTAATAAGCTGAGAAAATGATGCATGTATTTGGTATTCCAGGCAAATTTAGATAACTATAATCTACTAGAGTCTGTTTATGACACTGCTAATTTCTCAATAATTCTGTTTCCAAGCTGTACATCTGTGTTTCTCAACATTGGCAATTTTAAGACATGTGAACTTCAACTTCCGACTTCTGACTGTTAATTTGAATACTTCTGACTGTTAATTTTTGTTTTTAATTATCAGGAAAAAGAATAGCCATTTTAATTTGGTTTGAAGGTGGCATTGGCATAGGGATGTGGGAAGATGAGCAAATGAAAATGCATCCATCATGATATCACACTGACATTCATCTAGCATCTTATATTGGGATGCATGTACAGAAGAACTGGGTTTAAAACATGACTGTGATTGTATATGTAGTTAGTAGATACAAAGGAATATCAACAATCCTATAGAGTTAGGTTTTTGTATTTAATCTCTTCTGACCAAAGAAGTATTGCTCACATATTTTCATGCTGGTTTTTTTAATCTTACAGGATGTAAAATATAACATAAAATTTCTGTCTGTCTAACACTTTACTTTTAAACATCCAATTTCAGTTTTCTGCAGAAATGGCTATAAATTTATCAAATTTCCCTTCTTTATGTCAGTGAATGGTATATACCTCTTATATGGCCCTCCTGGGAAGAATATTCAGCAAAGTTGATGGAAAACTAAAAAGACAGCAGTATAAGCTTTGCTGCTTATGCATCAGAATAATAGTTTACCAAACTAAACTCTTTGTTATTGTTTTTCTTGTAGTACAAATGTTGTGGCCTGTTTAATGGGAATTCAGATTTGGGGAAAAACATCTATTCTAACCATGCATGTGAATGTGATCAGACAGACATTGGTACAAGTGATTGTGTTGGAAATAAGTATGTAAAGGTAAGAAAAAAAATAGCATAAGTAGATCAATGACTATTAGGTTTAGTGGCCATTTGTGGCCTCCAGATTTATATATCATGGAATCTTCTAGGGAACAGTAATGCAGGCATTGATTGGATGTTTTCTTCATCCAGGAAGCATTCGGGTTAGGAGAAAGCTAATACAAACTATAATTATTATAACTTGCATTTGTTACTATTTGTTTGTTTGTTTTCTAATGCCTTCAAGTCAGTCTTAATTTCTATCAATTATCTGGACAGGTCCATTCAGTTCTCTTGTCAAGATTTCAGAAGTGTTTTGCTATTGCTTCTTTCCTTGTGCTGAGAGAAAGTGATTGGCCTAAGATCATCCAGATGTTTTATCCCTAAGGCAGAACTAGAACTCATAATCTCCTGGTTTCTAGCTCAAGGGTTTTAAATAGTGATGTATTATACCAAAATGGGCAAATATTTATTTTTTAGTATCCTTCCTTCAAGAAACGGACCAAGATGTGCAAATCATTTGTAGAGCTTGTTATGTGTTGTGTGAGTTACTGATTCCAGAACTAATATAAGCTTGTAGCTTTTTAAACTGCAGATGCTATTAAACATTTTTCTAATGTTTGTTATCAGAGTCAGTTGATGAATAAGCAGTCATATAAAATTAACAAATGAACACATGAATGAATATTTTGTAAGTCGATTCTTTAACACTGGCATGTCTTCAGGTTTACACCAAACATGATGAAAGTTGCGCTATTTTAATAAATAGCAGAGAAAGGTTGTGTTCTCTCCTGTGTAATATCCATATTCATATGACTTAATGGTTATCACAATTGACAGTTTCCATCAATTTCTATAGGCCAACTTGTTTTTATGTATTTTTCACATTTCTTCCACATAAAATATGGAATTCATAGAAAATTCCCAAGTGACTCAGGCATTCACTAGCCTTAGCTCTCAGTTTTTTAAAGAGCTGTTCCATCTGATTACTTTCTAAGCCTGGATAAAACCAATTATCAAAACTGTTTTGTTTCTTAAATGCTGCTGTTGTAATACTTACCAAAAACAATTCAGATATTATTTATTTATTCAATTGATTATCTACTTTTTCATCAGAACTATAAAAATCTCACAGCAGATCTTGGAAGTTTAAAAAAATAAAGATGAAGTTACTTTGCCTTTTGATACCAGCAAAATTAATCTAAATTTGTAACATGGCTATTAGGTTAAAATAGCTGCTGCATGTGTGATTTATACCATTTTTGTCTTTCTTTCAGCCTTGTGCAACTGTAATTACAGAAATATTCAAGAAAAATATGGTTATAGTTATGGGGATAGCATTTGGACTGGCATTTATCGAGGTATACTAATACAATCTTATTTCAATCTGTTACGATATTGCAAGCTATAATTTCATTGGTAGTACATCAAGTTGAATGGTTGTGGTTGATCAAGTCTTGTTAAAGCATAAGCATTCCTCAACAGTGTTGATAGTAACTTGATGAAGAATATTTCTGCGTGTTCAGAAATAGACTGCTGCTAGTTTGCCAGCTTCCATGTTCTGGATTCAAAAGTCCTACCTTTTTTCATGTGTGTGTATAGTCATTAGAAATTAGAACATAAAAGATGGGGTCCATTGGATAAATGGTGTCCCTTCTGTTGCATTTTCCTACTTCTTATCCAGGTAAGTAGGAAAATCCTGACTGTAAATTATATGAAAAATAGTTGAGAACTGAACAAAGTCCTGATCAATAGAGGCCATGAATGGGATCTCAATAAGCCAGCCTCCTGAATTGTGAAGTTCAATAAATAGAAGAAACAAGAAAAGAAGCTGTATATTCTGATAGACTTCTTATTGAGTAAACAGAGCTGATACAGAGATTGCAATTAACATACACTATAAGGTAGACAGTGGAGTGAACCACTAAGTAAAATAACTAAAAAATGGTCAAAGAGTTAAAGGGAGATATCCCTAAACATTTTCCCTCTATTCAAAAACAAGCAGAGTGGATAAGTGAGCAGTCAAATAAATGAGAGGCATCTGGGTGTCCTGGTGGATCACTGGCTAAGTATGAGTCAGTACTGTGCTGCAGCTGTCAAAAAACCCAAAGCAATCAACAGAGGTATAGCATCAAAATCACAGGAAGTTTTTGTTTGTTTGTTTAGATTCCTTTTTAATATTCTTAAAACAGTTGATACATTTTTTGTAAGACCCCAAAACAGTGATCCAGGCAAAATAAAATTAACAGCCTCCTTTAAAGACAGGTAGGAGACAATCATCCATGACTTGAGAGAAAACCTGTCTTGGACTGGGTCAAGCTGTGCTATTTGTAGAACTAATAATAGTGCTGTCACCACTACCACCATATCATTGGATTATTGTTTCTGTCTTGAATCTTTGTCTCAGCTTAATACACAGGAATTTTAAATCAGTCCTTGAGTTTGCTATCCAAATTAAAAGTCTTTTTTAGAAACTTAGACAGGTTGTTTTTGTTTTTTGTTTTTTTTTGGGGGGGGGAGCAATTGAGTCAGTTTTGACTCTAGGAGATTGCCTGGAAAAATCCCTGAAGTTTTCTTGATAATATTTCAGAAGTGATTTACCATGTTCTTTCTGTATTTATTGATTAGCCCTTGGGGCATACCAAAGTGCCATATCAAAGTGCAAACTTCTAGAAACAAATTATTACTAAAATTTGATAAAAGCAATTTAAAATGGAATTGGTTAAAATACAATTTAAAATGAAGCTGGAATAAAATGCAGCCCAAAATGAAATTGGAACAGAATAGTTTAAGATATAGATAAAATATGATAAAATTATATTTTGCAATCTACCCCAATCAATCCCACATATGCAGATCTCAACTGAAAGTGATTTACCATTATTTCTTTTGTAGACTCAAAGAGAAAGTGACTGACCCAGCTAGCTTGGTACCTAAGGTGGAAACAAAAGTCACTGACTCACAGTTTCTAGCCTGATGCGTTAACCCCTACACCCAAACTTTGTTTTACAAAAAACAAGAAAGAATCATAATAATACTAACACAATTAAAGTGCAGTAAAAAAAAAAGACTTTAAATTTTAATGTGACCTCTAGAATCATGGAATTCTTGTGAGAAAATATTTTAATTCAAATATGATAACTGCTTTTTATGACTTGATTAATGCTATGGCCTTAATATAAGGCCTAGGAGTAGGATGTTAATCCAGTTTTTTCAGTAACAAGAATTTGAACTTGGAACTACAAAAATGAGGTGGGTTCGATAAGAGAAAGGAGTGAAATCCAAATAAAGCATAAAAAAAATTTTTTTAAATGGAAAAGGAAATTTAGCTTCATTTACCTCTCCAGATAGATTCTTAGTCTCTGATATCTTAATTTACAGAAAAAGATGTAAAACATACAGTTGTTTAACAGTTAATAGTTAGCCCTGCAGATAACAGTTGCTTGGATCTCTGAGCTTCCCATTGTAAATGTTTGGCAACTTATTACTCTTTTGTAAGGATAAAGTCTTCATTGGGTGAGGCAAGAATTTATATTGAGGAAGGCTCCCCCGCCCGGTTTGTTTTAAGAGATTGTTTCAATCTCTGCTATCCAATAGCGATATCATGTTTTCTGTCTTGAAATGAGAGCTGTTTTCAAATGTAGTAGTTAGAGAAAGCGTCAAAGGCTGAAGATTATTTACTTCTCCTACAGCTGATGTACACCAGCCATATGGTCTATAACTAGTTCTTTTAGAGTGAATTCCAATTACCTTTATTTGTGGAACAGTGAAACAGACTTGCCTTAATGACTGCTTCTTTTTATGTAGTCTTGTTGTTTAGTGTTTGTTTCAACTATTGATTACAAAAATGTAGTCAGAGTTCTGATTTTTTTAGCTCTTCATAAACACGTGGTAGCTTTAAAATAAATGATTTTAAAGCTGTCAAGTGTTCATGAAGAGGTAAAAAATAATAATCAATTTTAAAACTCAAGTGAAAAAATTCCATTTGATAGTTAGCTTCAATTTTACTTAAAGTAACACATATATGAATGTGCTCCAATTTCTACTTTAATTTGTTATAAATATTTTGTTAAATTGACCAGTTATCTAGAACAGCAAATCCCTACATTTATAATAACAGTTGCACAAGAATTCAAATTACAAATATTGTGGCATCTTCAACATAAACCATTTAAATATATATATATATATTTATAATATTGCTTCCGTGGTAATATACTCCATGGATTTGATGTAATGAACATAATTTCATGCAAGAATATGTTAGTTATTCAATTGTGCAAGATTGTTGTTTTGCTGTAACTTATTATAGAAGTGCAAGTAATTCATATATTTATGAGAAAGGTTTCTAAGAATTCTAATGTTGACAGGAAGCAGTATGAAAAATCTTTTTAGCTCTCAAGAAATCTGATCTCTTTCCCACAGATGTTGCAATATAAAGACCAAGTAAGAATCTCACAACTTGTCTTCACCCGTTAAAGCAATCCATCTTTCAGAATAAGTTGAGGTTTCCTATGCTGTTATATACATGGTTTTCGTTAAAACCCCACTATCTGAAAGTCATATCTCTAAATGGTGTTGGAAGCAATCTTTAACATAGCAGACCCATTAGTACATGCAAAATCCAATAATTTTGCAAACAAAATGTTCTTGCTGTGTACTGAACGGTTACTGAAGTTGCCAAACAATGCATTTTAAACATCTTTCTTTCTTTTTCAGATTGTTGGCATGGTGTTTTCAATGAGCCTTTACTGCCAGATCCAGAATAAATGAAATCAAGGAAATCATCAGCCAAATGAGAAAGCTTTGTAGATCAAGGAATTGGATCTGTAGTTGGATTTTTTTTAAAAAGCACCACATACTATTTATGTTTGGGGTATTGGTAATTTGTAACCTATTTGACTATTCAAAAATAAAAAGCACTGCTCTATATTGTGCTGACCCAATACATTGTTTTCTACTCATCTGTTTTCTGAATTAAAGTTGATGCTTACTTAACCCATTTCAACTAACAAAGTTATTTCTTTTATATATGTCCACACCCACACATAAACATATTCCCCCCTCAAACAAAACTCTTGCTTCCCAACTGTGCATGCAGACTCATAGAATGTTTTCCCCTTAACATTGCTAAAATGCTGTGAAATGAAACTTTTGAACAAATTGATCTAATAGTTTGGCCAATCACTCCAATGGACTTAGATTATCTACGTGAGTAGAGGTTGGCTTGAGAGAGGCAAGAAAACTTTTAACAATAAGTTCTGAAAAGCTGGAGTGGGCAGTCTCTAAATGCTGGGCTTTATGGTTGTTTTTCCTTACAACACAGTCTCTATAACTGTTAGAGTTAAAGGTTGTTTTTTCTGGAGAATGGAAATGTAGAATTATAGCCTTAATTATTTGAAGAGAAACTAAGACTTTATTTGTGGCATTATTTCATAACTTAGGAGTAGCCATTTAACAAGCATAGCTTACTGAACTGTCTATATTTATTTTATTTATTTATACATTTTATTGACCACCCATCTTACCACAGGATACCTCTGGGTAGTTTACAATCATAAAAATCTATATCTATCTACCTTATCTATCTACCTTATCTATCTATCTTAAAACATAAATAACCATTAAATGTTATGCTTTGCTCAGCCATTTGGATAACCCTCCTTTTCAATAATGAACAGATAACACGTTACTTCCAGATGGAAAAAAGAAGCACTCATAAGCAGATGTACAGTTATAGGAACATTTACGCATCCATGTTTACATCTATAACTAGGTAGACAATAAAGAGGATTCCTATATTGCCAATGCTAAAATCACTCTTTCTTCTGTGCTTTGATCCAAATTACACTGACATTCTTCCAATACATGGATATAAGTTAGACCTGATATTAAAAACATATGTCCAAGATCTTCAGTGTAATTTGAACATTGAGAGAAAATTGCCAAAACATGCATAATTTTGTGCATGAGTTCTTCAGAATCCTCATTAATATTTATGAGGATTAATATTTATTGCCAACTATCCTTACATGCTTACAAAAGCTGGTTGTGCTAACTTCAAAGCAGCACTTGAAAGAAGACTGTAAACATTTCTGGAGCATAATTAAGGGTTTCACATCATCAATTTGACAGTTTTATATAAAACTAGCCGATAACCCGGCGTTGCCTGGGTATTTATTTATCCCAATCCTGTATTAGACAGGAAAATCCTGTAGTCAAGACTCACACCGTTGTACTGTCTCTCATGCAGTGTTGCAATTCTTCTATTCTTCCACAAGAGGGAGCCCTCTTTTGGAGTACTGTGAAGCTGTTACCATGGCAAATCCACTGTGCTGTACAGTAGAAGCCATTTTAAGGCACACATACCCCTCGAGGTGTCTTAAACCCACAGTATTTGTTTCCAGGGGGTAAGTAATTTGTGTACCAAGTTTGGTTGAAATTGCTTGAGGCGTTCCAGAGTTATACTGGAACATACATACACACATCTGTTTTTATATATATAGATTTGTAAATCTGATCTTTGTAATTGCTATAAAATATATATTAGTCAGTTTTATTCTATTTCTTAACAATCTATCTTTAAAATGCCAAGACATTGTACTCTGTTTACTTGGATAGCAACCAAAATTTGTTTTGATCCGTCAATCCAGGTCAAGAATACAAAAAGGCAGTAATTTATAGCAGGATCAGTAGAATGGCCAAGATTCTCATTTTTAAATATTTTTAAACAGAAACAGAATTTCAGATTTTGATTTATTACTATTAGTAACAATCCCCCGCATGTTTAATAAAGTTATCCTGTTATATTAAAAGTCAGCCTGTGAAAAGAGATTTTATTGGTATTATAGAGTTTACATCTATTTTTTTTCAGGGGCACAGGGGCATACCTGAAGCATAAATTTCAAATAAATTGGTAAGTTTGCTTAACTATTAGAGGTTGAGCATCAGTCAAGGAGAAAAAAGTATGGGTACTTGTAATAAGGGAGGATATGTTTTCCAAAAGAGAAACAATTTACCTACATGCCTTTATGATTAACCTACTTTAGAACTTTTAAAGTATCTTAAACTAACATTCATAGGCTCCTTTCATATATATTTAAATTTTGGATGAATTTTTGCAACATTTATTTTATGCATTTTATAGGACTTTCTACTAGGTGTGCTTTTTAGTGTTCAACTTTCTCTACTATTTTTAAATGCAACTTTCTCAAATACATGTTAGGTTAAGTGAACTGTCCTTGCTCATATGATGAATATAAGCTGATGCATTTGTTACTGCTGTCCATGCTACAATGGAGTTTGTGTTTGTTTTGAAATAAAATAAATCCCAACAGATTTATTTTATAGCCATATCTGAGAATTATGAAAAGATAATTCAGACAAAAATCTCAGAATTTTACTGGAAAATAGAATTAATAAAATCTTCCTACAAAATGGTAAATACAATTAACTAAGAATTAATGAAGAACAAAAATGCAGCTTTTTAAAATCAAACATTCCCTTCCTTCATTTCCCTATAATTTTATAAAAGCCTGTATTTCAGGAATTGTTTAACACCTGGATTTAAAACATACAAGTGCAGTTAAAACCTTCTATTAGGCAATTTTCAATGCTCAACGCCCTTCTGAATATTGGGTCAAAGTATTTTCAGTTAATATCTGATCATTTAATAAACCTACCATGCTAACCATTTTATGGTAGTAGAAAAGAACAAAGAAATTGTGCAAGTATTATTTCATCCTCATATTTGCTTATGATAAGAGCTGTCTGCAGGAAGTGCAGACAGACCCTAGGCTATTGCTTACAATGACTAAAAGTGAGATGAGGAAACAAGTTCTATTCCTGTTACCTGCAGACTTTGGGCATTAAAATAACTGGTCTGAAATACTCTTATATTTGTATTTATTTGAATGTAGGCAGATGCCTCTACAAACTATGACTCTTCTGAGAAGAGCATTTGTATATTATGGCAGAATAAACATCAAACAATTTAAACCCTACTACAATCGTTCATAACTACGGATCAGGTCTAGTTTACGCATGTCTAAGTGGGTCTTGGGAGAAAGAGATAGACCATTTCTAATAATTTCTCAAAACCAATTTCTCTTTCAACTAAACTATAAGCTAGAGCTTTATAATCCTTATGATAGTCTGTCAATAAATGATATAGTATTTCCATGAATAAGGAATTTGCTTGAAAACTGTTATGTCCTGAGGACTCAAGGAGTTCTCACTCAGGTCCACTCACT